TGAACTTAAGATTACATTGGATTGTATATGGCCCACAAACTAAAAAAAACTTTAACAGTCCTGATTCAGCTCTTTGAAGGAAAGTGAACTTTTAGAATGTGTACTTATGGCTAACAATAGACACTGAAAGTGAAAGACAAAGGGGAGCACACGTACACAGAAGCACAGATAAGAGTGCCTGTAGACAGCCAATCAAACTCATGAGCATGCCTGCAGCTGCAAAGCCCCAAATTTACCCAGCTCACAAAAGCAAGAATAAGAAGTGCAAGCCACAATGCACCAGGGCCACACTGAAGCGGTCACAGCATACTACATAACTACAGGTTTTACACCAACTCTCTTAAATAAGACGACGTGATGAGGAAACTGAGTAAAAGACAATACAACACTGATCATCTTTTCACTTGCTTCAGTTTTACTCCAAACTTCAATCTGAGATAATTGTAGACGTTCAGGTACACGCCCATGCAACATGCCCCAAAGTTCCCAGCAATAAATAAGAAAAGCAACCACTAACACTAAGTGCTGCACAGTGGTGATGCTTGTAACAAATCTAGCCAGAGTTTCAAACAATGAGGTCAGGTTATCATGTGAACTAAAAGCTCAGTCCTCAGACAGTTTAAATCCTATGTGTCAGACAGTCTACTATTGGATCTTTACAATATTAGAGAGGAGCCATCTTTAAAAAGGCCATCTCAGGGATGCAGCACTGGTCCACAGTCCACCTGTTGTTGAAACTTTGTGTTTCTGAAGAGCAGCCAATCATAACTCTTTAAGGCAGGGCAGACCTCAGAGAGTGGATGAACTGAAGGGCTGCAGCAAAGCTAACTATGAATTAATTAAAAACCAAATTGTGTGAAACTCATGCAAAGCTACTCTAGCAGTCAAATGCGGGAAACATGTATAAGTACAAATCTGCATAATAAGCCTGGGTTTCAGACCCAGTGTGCAAGACTGTGGCACCTAAACAAACGTTTCCAACACAAACCGCCCTGTAGTCATAAAGAGCATGGCAACGGGGGTGTCATTTGGGCGGAATCAAATGCAGGGTCAGTGAGACAGCCATGAGTCATGAAGCTGAATCTGATCACTGAGATTCAAACTTGTTTTTGGTTGAGGCAACAGCAGCCAGCTGACAAATAGATCACTGTCAATATCTGACACTGCCAGGTTATGCGAAGTACAACAAACTACACAGTGGTGCATAAACCCACCATATAATGCAACTACTGGTCCAAGGAGACCCTAATGCGGCAACAAAACTTGAGCATTGTAGTGTCTCAGAGCTGACCGTAAGGGATGGGTACAGGACGATCTTTATAAGAAAATAAAATGCAAGTGTACCGAATAATTATATACTTTATAAAAAGTACAAAAGCATAAATAATGCGCTTATGTGTTCTTGAAAAGCATTGCAACATTAAGTGGCCAGATTTTCCAACTGACTTTGGCACAAATCCTTTCATCGAGCGCATAATACACGCCTTTAATCTTTAATCCCGCTTGTAAATTAGTTTGGCGCTGTTGCTGCTTGTTTTGTTTTTTTAATCAGACCCACCTCTTCTGTGTGTTTTCTCAGTGCCTTCTCTCGCTCATACTGGGTAACGAGCTGCTCGTTGTCCTCCTTCAGCAGCTCCAGCTCCACTTCGTGCTCCTGGTTGACAGCGAACACCGAGTCCAAGTTCTCCAGCACGGCGACGACCAGCGGCATCAGCTCCTTTACCAC